TGAGTATTTAAACTGGTAATTTTTTTCTTTTATTGCCAAATTTTTATCCAATTTCTTCACAACTTCTGTTTCAACTGTGGTTGGCTTGACATGACAGAGAACTTTTTGTAATTGTTTTCTCTTGTTTCCTCTTAATTGATAATTTAATGGCACCCCGGGAAAAAATCATCATGCATGAACATGTACGATCAGGCGTTAATGTCATGCATGATCATGCATGTATATTTGCCAGACATGAGCTTGTATGGTCATGCATGACCAAGCATCATCAGAACTAATCAGTCATGATCATACTTTTCCATGCCTGGCAAACGCGGGAAAAATGACCATGCCTGATCAGTCATGAGCAGGTATGATCAGACGTGAACAGGTATTGTTGGTGGCGGATTCGGGTTCATAGTAAAATGATCGTGAAACGACGGTGAATGTACCGTGAATTCACAGTGTCGACAAATGATCGTCGAATGACCGTCACTTGACTGTCGAACGGCCGTCATTTGACAGTGAACGACGAGTATCATTGTGAAAGTTTTTCACTGTTACTTTATTACGTCATACGGAACAAAGTAATTTTCAAAATAATACTGCAGTCTATAGTTCGATAAAATTTTCTCTCCAGACTGAAAATAACATTTAAGAAGGCTAATCATGCATAAACAGGTCTTATCAGGCCTAAACATATTTATTAATTCAAGCTAATATACACCCAGGTCTGATCAGGCCTGAGCGTATTTAACGCTTCAGACATGAACAGGCACGATCAAATCTAATTTCAGGCCTGATCATACTCGAACAGGCATGGTCAGGTCTGATCATTTTCTTCCGGGAAATATTCATGACAGATCATGCATGACCGAGCATCATCAGAACTAATCAGTCATGATCATGCTTTTCCATGCCTGGCAAATATTCATGACTGATCATGCATGATCAAGCATCATCATAATTAATCAGTCTTGATCATGCTTATTTACATGTTTGACAAATACTCATGCGTGATTATGTATGACCAAGCATGATCATAACTAATCAATCATAATCATGTTGTATTCCATGTCTAGCATATATTCAGGGACACTTTTGACCGACTATGTTAGCTCGTAGTTGAGAATAAATCGAGCCCTGCAAACTTAAATAAAATCAAATAATTTGTTCACAATATAAAAACGCATGCAAAACAATTTCAAGGCTAACTTTATTTAAGTATTCAAGGCTACTTTTAAAAAATACTTATCAGATAAATTGTTAAAATGATTATTTATATCAATTTTTTAATAAGACACATTTAATAAAAGTCTTGAACGTCGGTTTATTTTCACAATTTCATTTTTCAATTTTAGAATTTTGTAACTCATAGAAATATTAATATTTTTGAAAAAAATCTTACAGTTTTTGAAAGGAAATAAAATGCTCTACAAAAAAGGTCTCATATCATTTTTCGATAAATTCACTTTCCTATCAGAAACTTTAAGATTTATTTAAAAAATATTGATATTGATATTGATAGTCCATGTATGACTAATGTATGATATGGAAAATCATGTAAGCCCTTACATGATCATGAAGCAATGTAAAAACTAAAAGTACACGGCCCAGCTTGGTGAAGTCCAATCATGATTGATCATACAAAGTCACGCCCGGTCAAGCAGGCTCGTGCTTGATCATTCTGGCCACTCACAGGTGGTCATGTATGGTTAAGCTTGGCGAAGAATAATTGTACATGTTTATTCAAGACCATGCATGGTCATGCATGATAGTTTTAGCTGCGTTGGAAGTTATCGTGCATGATTAGACTTGGTCAAGCATGAATATGTAGTTTCTTACATGCACATGCTTTATTATGCAAGCTCATGCACGACCTTTCAGTTTGATTGTATACAGTCGTGCATACTCGAGCATGACTGTATATGGATCATGCAAGGTCACGCAGGATTGTTTATGATCATCCAGTATTTAAATGTATGATTGAGTATGACCTTGCATGAATCATGCTTGACCAGGCAAGATCATTCATGATTCATGCATGCTTATGCATGATTATGCTTGATTCATGCTCGGTTAAGCATGGTCATGCATGCAGATTTTTTCCCGGGTATTCATGTATAGCCTAGTCATCAGTCGTGCTTATGCACTTATATTAGACGCACCAAGTATTTCCAGTTGATGAATAAATAATATAAATACTCAGAGCTAATACCTTATATATTAAAAGAATAGTGTGCATTTGCTCATTTAGTTTCTGGAAGAGAACGATCGTCGAACTATAGAGGTACTGTAACTTATTTACATGTTGGTAAAATTTTGTGACTCATTTTTATATTTTAAAGCTTTTATAATATTAATGTAAACAATTTTATTTTTGCAGATTTAACACGAGGATCTAAAAGTTGATTAATTATTCAAATTTATTGAGCCAATTTGTCACATCATGGAAAAATTGAAAGTAACACAAGATTATAGTGTGGTTGAAAAACAGAAATTAATTTACCAATGGAAAATAGTGGATTTTATTCCATTGATTCGCCTGTACAGCTATTCTAAAGAGTCTAATACTCTTCAATCGAATTTTCGAGATCATGTTGAAGATTCTCATGACCATAGAATTCGGTATTTGAAATTGAATTTTAATAGTAGAGAATCGGCGAATAAAGGATGGATATCAATATCTTTGAGTCCAAATATCAAATATTATGCAGATACTAAATATTCAGTTTATATTTTGGATAATCTACATAAAAAACAGTTTATTCAAATATTTGACAAAGTTCTAGTGAAAAAACCTGAAGAGTTTTGCATTCCAAAATTCGTTGAAATATCTAAATTATTAGAAATGAAAGATAAATTTATACCTAACAATCATTTAACAATTGGTGTTAAAGTTACTGGATTCATCCGCACTAATTCAAAACGAATTGAAAATCAATTAAAAACTTCAAGGAATCAATTAGTACGTGAATTAAAAGATATTTTTGAGAGTAAGGCCGGTAGCGATGTAGTTCTTCTCGTTGGTGACAAAAAAATTAAAATTCTTGCGCACAAGCTAATTTTGACAACTCGCTGTCAAGTGTTTGCAGCCGAATTCTCACGTCAACTAAAAATAAAAGGAGGAAATGAAATAACTATTCCTGATATGGATCCAGAAGTTTGTGAAAAGTTGTTGGAATATATTTATACTGAAAATATAACTGGTATTGATGAATTTGCTGAGCGTTTATATGAAGAAGCCGTTAAGTATCAGCTTCCAGCTCTCAAGGAGTTGTGTGAAGAGTCATTTTGTAGAGGCGTGACAGTTGAAAATGCTGTTAAATATCTTGTTCTGCTGGACCGCCATCACGCTGATAAGAAATTTTTCGACAATGTTCTAAGATTCATCGCCCTTAATTCCAAAACAGTTATTAAAACTCCCGAATTTAAAGAATTAAAAAAAATAAATCCAGGGTTGTTATCAACTATACTAACAATGATCTCCAGTATCGGTGAATAGCAAGGTATTGTTAAACTTTTTCACTAATAAAATAAATGTATTTACATAGTTATTCATGAAAAAATAATTGCTTACATTTTCTATGTTTCAGATCAACACACTTATGTACATAATTTAATACCATAGCCTTGGCATGTGTATATTATTTCAATTATCACCAATTGTTATTATAAGAAGTATCAGTTAAAAGTGGAATTTTAATCTTCAATATCATTATTACCTACATACATTTTATTATATATTTCATTGTTGATTAATATTTTTGTGTACTTTCAATTATAACATGTATTATCTACTTTATTTTGTTATTTTTAATCCGGTAGGGCAATCATAATGGATTTGTAATTAATGCTACTCAAAGCTAAAATCGAAAAACTTTAACTTGTTTTTCTCAGTAAATAAATGATTAAAAAAAATTCATGTAATCACACAAATAAACTACAAATATTCTATTAATAGTCATATACTAGTTCAAAAGAACCTTATGAAATTTTTAGATGCCCGCTGGTTGACAATATTAATTATTAATTAATTCTTAAAGTATATTAGTTTATTAAATTCAGTCTAGAAAATTATTCGTATAAAATTTCATAAACTTGACATTTTTTTAATTACTTTTTTGATTTCTGACCATATTTTTTCTCAACGTACAAAAAAAACTCACGATCAACTCAATATTCTTTAATATGTAATAATATATAACAGACATTCAAAATAATAATATTGAATGATAAAAAATAAATTCAAGTAACAAAAAAACTGATAAATTTATAAAAATATTTTTTTTTTAATTTAACTTTATTAAACACAAATTTGTTATATTTACTCTTAAAAAATTATTAACAAATAATAAAATTGCAAGATTGTGATAGAAAACTAATTATTAAGTTCTATAATTATTGAAAAAATTTTCTACTCTTATTTCTGATGGAAATTGATCTGTTAATTGACATTGTCATAATAATATAATTAAATTATCAATACAAAATAATATTGAAAGATTAAGGTATAAAATTTCTTAAAATCTAATAATTATTGAAAAAAAATTACATACCTATTTATGAATATTAATAAAAACATAAAATGGATACTTTTTTTAAAGCGAAATTTTTTTTAGAGAAATAAGATGAGTTTGTCCACAATGATACTCTAACAATAGATGTTAACTTGATTGTTGATGACAACCGTAAAATTAAGCCATTAAAAAGTTTAAAAAGAAAAATAATGGATTTCTTCAGAAATCTTTTCAGTGGCAAGAAGAAAAGTAATGTCATTATCGGAGTTGATGAAGAAAAGTCTGACGTCCGTAAGTTCATGTTGAGTGAACGTAGCTGCGTGTTAGAAGCTACCTTCTCGCATATGGAGAATATCTTAAAAGATAAAGTGACAATACCAGACATTGCTTGTAAAATCTTTGATGAAGTTATTGATTACATTTATTTGGACAAAGTTGACAAATTGGATGCTTTTGCTCAAGAATTATTGAAAGCGGCTAAAAAGTATCAGTTTCAAGGACTCAAGGAAATATATAAAGATGCTCCAAATTTTTAGCTCCTGAAAACGCTATTAAAATTTTAATTTTAAGCTTAATTAAAGAGAAAAATTCTTGAGCCAAGAAAATAATTTTTAAGAGTTTCATCGTGTTAATTAAAATAAAAAAATTCTCCCTAGGTACTAAAAAAAAAAATTATGATTTCTGTGCGTTATTGAAAAATAAAGATCGCTTTTAGTGGAATTTTTTCCTATTATAATATAACAATATCATAAATTATTACCTTTTTATATATATAATATAAAAAAAATAAAAAATTGTATAAAACTGTTAAGTTATGCAAATAAAACACTATAATAATAATATAACAATATCATATTATTTATATTTTATGATAAGTACATGCACAAATATTTTTCATTGTAATTTATTTTTTATAAGCATAGTTTTTACATTTAATAAAGTTTACATACAGTTTAATTTAAATTTTATATCGGATATTAATTAGGTAAATTTTAAATTTATAGTCTAACCCAGAAATTTTTAAAATTATTTTATGTAAATATTTACGAGAATAAATGTATGGTAGACTTTTTTCTATCAGTTAAAATATATTTTTTTTTAATTATCAAGTTTCAATTTAATTTTTTTAAGCTTAATAAAAAATATACAAAGATTCAATGCCCTTTAAAATTATTTTTGTGTCAAAATCTATTCAAAAAAATTAATTGCTTGTGGAATTGTTTGAAAGTAATATAGTTTGTTTTTTTAATGAATTCTTGAAAAGTTGAAAAATATTAAATTAAATGAGTTGAGTGGGATTATCAGCAACTACTCATAAAAAAAACTTATTAATAGTTGAATAATTAGACTTTTGAATAGAGTAATTATCACGAGCATCATTTTTAGCTCAATTCCACTCGAATACTTTTAAAATACATATGATAAAGAATAAAAAAATATGTTAAACAATAAAATAATATATGATGGAAAAAATCATTAAATAATAATAATGTAGATTTAAATACTACGGTAGGTTGTATTATCGTTAATAATAATAGCTGCTAATATAAGTGAAATAAAATACGTACACTGAGGGCTGCGATATTAATTACCAAAAACGTTGATCTGGAACATAAAATACATAAGTATATATTTTTTCATGAATAACTAAGTAAATACATTTATTTTATTAGCTATGAAAGTTTAACTATACCTTATTGTTTACTTCATACTGCAAATCATTGTTACTATAGTTAATAACAACCCAGGATTTGTTTTTTCCAACTCTTTATAGTCAGCAGTTGTGACAATTTTTTTGGAATTAAGAGCGATGAATTTTAAAACATAGTCGAAAAATTTCTCATCATCGTGATGGCGGTCCAACAGAACAAGATATTTAACAGCATTTTCGACTGTCACACCTCTACAAAATGACTCTTCACACAGCTCCTTGAGAGCTGGAAGCTGATACTTGTCGGCTTCTTCATATAAAAATTCAGCAATTTCATCAAGACCAGTTACATTCTCAGTATAAATATATTCCAACAATTTTTCACAAACTTCTGGATCCATGTCAGGAATAGTTATTTCGTTCTCTTTGTTTTCTTTGAGCTGATGGGAAAACATTGCTGCAAACACTGGACTACGAATCATCAAAATTACCTTGTGCGCAAGAATTTTTTTGTCACCAACAAGGAGAACTACATCACTACCTACTTTACTTTCAAAAATATCTTTTAAGTCACTAATTATTTGATTCCTTTGAGTTTTTCTTGGAATCGTAATTTTTCTTACCGTCTCAAAAAATTCGGTAAGCTCAATGCCGATTGTTAAGTCATTGTTAGGTAGAAATTTCTCTTTGTTTTCTAATAATTCAATTATTTCGAGGAATTTTGGAATGCAATATTCTTCAGACTTTTTCAAGACTTTGTTAAATTTGTGAATAAACCGTTTTTCATTTCCATTATCCAAAATATATATTGAACATTCAATATTTGACTCGGATCGCTCAGATAGCTGTAAAGATATTGATAACCATACCTTATTTTTCGATTCTATACTATTAAATTTTAATTTGAAATACCAAAAATTCCGATGACTTGAATATGTATCTTCTCGATTTGAAAAAGAAGATTAAAAAGTCTTAGAATCTGTAGTATAGCTGTACAGGCGAATCACTGAAATAAATTTCTCTATTTTTAACTTGTGAATGGATTTCGATTCTTTAAATAATTTATATTCTTCTGTTATTTTCAAATTTTCCATGTTGTATTGAAATGGCCCAATAAATTTGAATAATTAGTCAATTTACAGATCCTCTTGTATTAACTTAAATCTGTAAAAATAAAATTATTTACATTACTATTACAAAAGCTTAAAATATGAAAATAAATATGATATTATAATCAGCAGACACCTGACAGTTCAAATCATTATATAAAAAAATTTGCACATATAATTTTTTGTAATTTCTAAATTTGGAATTTTTTTATTTAAATTATTTCATAATAATTAAGTAGATTTAAAAATCCAAAAAAATAGATATCTGTTCATTTCACTATCATAAAGAAGTAACAAAATTTTACCAAAATGTAGATAAGTTCCAGTGCGTATATAGTAAGGCGATCGTTCTTTTCTCGAAACTGAAGAAGCAAATGTAAGCTATTCTTTTAGATAGAAGGATGTTATCTCGATTTGTTTATAAGTATTATTTTTTTATCAACCGGATATATTTATCTGTGTAAAATAAGTATATTTGTCTGTGTAATATACATAAGCACAGCTGATGAACAGGATCCACGTGAATAACTAATTTGTGACTATTGTGAAAATTATGTGTGAGTACTAACATAGGCATAAACTTTAATTGCAATAAATCATTTTCAATCACTAATTCTCAATAATAGTTGTTTAAGTTGTTTTAGGTTTGGTAGCCGGCAATGTAGAAAATATTCCTTCCATATTCCTCTATCCACCACCATCATAGCTGCCACCAGCGCAGTTTCTGATGCGCATAATCTCGCGCAAGTCTTTTGGCAGGCAATCGTGAATTAGTATCTTGTGACAAACCAACAACCCAGTCACCAAGACTCTTAAAACACTGGAAGAAAACTTAACCCGAAACAAATGTAAAGGTTTCATCTTCAAAAGACTCCCAATAATTAGCTCATTCAGAGACACCAAACCACAACAGTTTACCACTCACCAAAGTATAATGCATCCAAGATATGCATACTCATACTCCATCTTCCAGAATCCTTTGAATATTGACCTGTCCACGATAGCAACTCTTACTGGTATGTCCCGTAAAAACACAGCTGAATCTCTTGACAAAATAGCCGCTGAGAAATTTGAAAATTTTGTACAAGTTTACACAGATGCCTCAAAAACCCCCGGAGAACCCTACGTGGGTCTAGCAATCTACAACGCCACTCTAGACACACAACTGACGATAAAAATTACCCAACAAGCCTCAATAACCACAGCAGAATCACTGGTCATCCTCAAAGCCATCGAGCTAGCCCTCGAGATGGAAGAGAGGAAAACTGTCATATTTACAGACTCCAGAAACTCACTACAACGAAGGCTCCAAATTCACCTGGTTTGGGTACCCGGGCACGCTGGGATTCCTGGGAATGAAACAGCAGACAGGCTAGTCAAAGAAGCGGCGACCAGAGCGCCAAGAACGTTCACTCCAATTCCCTACAAGGACCTAACGGACACCAACAAGGACAAAACCACGAAGCTAACAATAGAAAACCTGAAAGAAATAGGAAAGACCAAAGGAGTCTTATACTTTAAACATATATACAAGGAGACAAAAAAGCCCTGGTTCGCGAACTTCAATCTGCCCAGGAAAGTTATAACAACTATCATCCGAGTACGCCTAAACCATTACAATCTCAACTCCAGCCTCCATAGGAAAAATTTCATAGACTCAGCTGAATGTCCCTGCGGATCCCCGAAACAAGACCTCAACCACATCTTCTTCAAATGCCCGACATATCAAGATCAGAGAAGAACATTAACTAAGACTCTTTCCAAGCTATACAACCCAATACCAGAGGATGTTACGACCCTCCTCCTAGCAGACCCGACAGATAAAATCGCCTACATACTCTGCAACTTCTTGAATAAATGTGAACTCAACATTTGAATTCAAGCAGACTGCGACATCTCTGAACAACCCTAGTATAGAAACCACAGAAACATAGACACCTTACTACTAAGTATAGCGGCCGAATGGAAAATAAAACTTCCCAGAGTCAGGAAAAAATCTAATCTAATCTAATCTTGTGATGATCGTAGAAAAACAATTTCAATTAATTTTGTGAATAATTAGTTGTTTACAAACTTTAATCTGATTATAAAAATATAATAATTAGATATATACCGACCAGAAGAAAAATGTCAATTATGACAGTGAAAAAAAGTTTCGGTAATAAATAAGAGGCTGGAAGTTATTCCCATTCAGAAAATCAATCAATTGTTTATGCTGGAATTAATTATTTATTTATTAAGTATTCAAGAATTCTTGAAATAATTATTTTTTAATTAAAAATAGTTGATATTGATAATATGAATGAAACATTAGCTGAAATCGAATAGGGTAAAAGACTCCATTAGTGGCGGGAACCCCATTACTGACACTTTTTTTGATTTTCGTACTTATTCAATTAATGAAATCATTAATTTTAATAATAAATACATTATTTCTAATCTTTAAGATCTTTAGATCAAAAAAATTTTTAATTTTTATTCCAAGTAGAACATTTTTTCATCGAAAGAAAAAGTGCCACTAATAGGGATTAAAAGTATCACTAATGGGGTCTTTTACCTTATTTATTTATTTATACAAAAATAAAAATTATTCAGTGTATTATTAAAAAATAAAGATCGCTTTCTGTCGAATTTTTTTCTATTAACTTTTTT